ATCAAAATCCTTTCTTAGCGGATGCCTACGTCATAACATCTACCTGAATGCCTTTCAGCCCGATCCATCCAGTGGTTCGGGCTGTGCGTTGATAGATCACTATGTCAGTCAGTCACCTTTGAGTTTTAAATATAGGTATAGATAGGATCAAAAAATTAACGTACACGAAAGAACTCTAGATAGAACAGATGTTATTTATTGTATCAATTCGAAATATTGTTTGACATTTTAATGTATTAACGTTTTCTTGATAGTGTGAGTGAATTATTTAGTAATGGGAAAGTGGACATTGTGTTGAATTGTTTTGCGGAAATTACCTATATTTGTAAACCAAATGGGGCTGATCACGGCTGCACAATTGAAAACCCAGGTAACTTATAACCCGTGTTTCACAAATAATTTTTTTGATTTCATTTGAATATGTTCGGTTGATCTAAATAAGAAATTACACTTCAGCGAACTATGTAGTTCAACTTTAGTTGAGCTCATCTAATCAATGTACAGTGGGAGTCACGGGCGCGTGAACACTTCAAAAAATCTTTCCTATGCAAGCGCTAGACGGGTGATTTTACGGGTCGTAGTATTTTACTATAACCAATTAGTATAGCGCTGCACTGGGTGCAGTAATGAATGATGCGAGCGAGAGTAAATATTATGTGCGACGTTGCTCTATGCCGCTACACAGCTACAGCCAGTGGTTTGGCAACATCTCGGGATTTCTGTGATGCGCGTGCGATATCGGGATCAAATAAAGAAATAATAAAACAACAACAGTAATCATACGCGTTTCGATTTTAATATTGAATTCATGAATTTGGTATATTCATATTTTTAAAATAAACCTATAACCTTTTTACTCTCAAATAGAATAATCTCAATCTCAAATAAATAAGTAATCCCTCGGAGTATAAATTAGAAAATACTGCCATTTTCTATTTTTCTAGGTAATTAGAAGCCTAATTAATTACCAACTCCGATATTAACAACTTAAAAAAAAATGGGTGCGTGTACTTATGTAGGCGCGTGAGAAGTAATCCTTCTTTGGCATCGTTTAAAATTAGTTTTTAATTGCATGCAAATAATTAATTACAATAAATTAATAAAAAGTCTGGAAAAGGACACAGTCAATAAAGTTCAGTTTAAATAATCAAAATATTCAATTAAAATCGCTACTGAATATAATTTATTAGAATATGTGATTTGCACTTGTATGAAACTCAAACACGTATTCCGAATATACAAACTAGAAACATGTGGATAAATATTATAAATATGAATACCTATAACTGTTACTTTATTACAAAAAATAAAGATGTGGTTTTTGGTTCTACTACACCAATGGTCAAGAGATGGCGCTGTAGTCTCCTGAATCGCGCTTTGGTTCCGTTGTTCCAGATTAATAAATACTTTTGATAGGCCTTCATAATGCAGTCGTTAGCACCCACTAAATAGAGATTCTATTTCTATTTTGTTGGTAGATTTTCTTAATGTGCGGTAAACACAAAAGTAACGCATGAAGTTGGTCGCTGTGTTACAGTGATGCGCGCGCATCTTAAAATTTCACTCTCATCATTTTTTCATAACGCGCCTAAAGAAGTATAACTTCAAAAAAATTAATTTACACACATCTATCTCCATTTTAAGGAAGTTTCCTAAAAGCCTTTTTAGGCAACGACTCCTAATCATTAATTACTTTCACCTTCATATTTTAGTAGTTTTCGAGATTTGTCAGTGACTAAATACTCAAGTGGTTTCGGTTCAATATACCTATCTAAAGATATATGCGTTAGCATGTAATAGTCAGTGAGATATATTTTGTTATTTTTTTTAATACAAGGCGCAGAAAATTTCCCCTCCCCAGCCAGCTATTTAAGTGTGAGCGGGGACTAGTGAAGTCTGAGATAGATAACTGATGCGATAAAAAAGTGTGCCGCTCCAGCCATTCTCACCTTGCTGGCCTGAACCCAATCCCCGTCCCCGTGGAGCCCTAAAACCTTATTCACCACAGAAACAGAACACCAAAAGGTAGGAAGTGTTATTTTACTGTGGTCTTCTGTAAGAAAAAGATTACTTTTCCAAACGGGCGCTCCAATTCCACCGAGAAATCCGCTATGCCCTATCTCTTTTAAAATAAATATAATATCGTTAATGATAGTTTTTATATATTAAGTATTTACTTCTACCAGCGTCTATTTTACATTTAAAAGACGTAGGTCATAGCGGATTTCCCGCTTGAATTGGAGCGCGCGTTATACTTGATTAATCACAAACCCCTTTCTAAGCAATGGGCAAAATTTAATTTGTGAGACCCTTAGGTCGCGCTGAATCGCTGCCGTACTCAGAGACGCCAATTAACTTTTAATTTAAATTACAGTTGATGCTGTCACTTTGTATAAACAAAATTTCTTGGTAAAAAAAAATCAGACAACACGCGACTTAATGAAGCCTTACCTTTAATTGATGTCTTTGAGTGCGGCCGTTAGTGACATATAAAATATCACTGAATTATTCAGGAGTTATGATTCTTATAAATAAATAAGTTGTTAAATAATCTACAGAACTCTTACTTCGTGAATAGCACGAACGATTACAACTGTTTCCGGGTTTAATTATGTAGGTAATTGAAAAGAGGACATTCATTAAATCATTTACGAATTCCAAACAAAATGTAATATGATGAGCATACATTCATCACAACACAACCAAGCTATTCCTGTTCATTCATAAAAAGTCGAGTGCCCGCCCACTAACGAATCGTACAAAACGAGTGCATGGCAAAATCGCCTTAGAGCTGTTCACGCGCCCGTGACCATGTTTGTACATACACCGGAGATGTTGCTGCCATCCTCGATATCATTCAAAAGTCCATCAGTTGAGACTTTTATTTTCTAGTTTGATTGAAAACATTGCTACCTATTAATTTGTCATCGGCGTGTTATTTATCTTTAAGGTTTTAGATATACCCTAATTTTAGTTTCTAATCTTCTTGTCAACAGAGGAGGCATTTACTTTACTACTTATTGGTATTTTAACTATGTATTTTTACTTCTATTTATTTGAACTAACCTCTGAGGACGTGTATAAACAGTATAATGTTTGATGTTGCTGTTCTTTTGCTCCGGTGGCAACCAGCTCACGATCACAGACTCCTCCGAATGAGCCAGGGCTTTTATGTCAGCGGGTGGACCTGGAACTATTAAAGAATTCGTTGGGACATCAAAATAAGCATTATTTACTCTTTTTCCGTTTTAATTATAAAATGCGGCAAGAGAAATATCGTACACCATATAGCTTCAAGTAGGTAAGACTACCATCCTTACTAATATTATAAAGGCGAAAGTTTGTTTGGATGGATGTATGGATGGATGTTTGTTCCTCTTTCACGCAAAAACTACTAAACGGATTTTAATGAAACTTTACAGTAATATAGCTTATAGATCAGAATAACACATAGGCTATAATTTATAAAGATATTGTGTGAATTGTCCAAAATATAACGATAAATGTCATTTAAGTCTGAAAAAATTCTGCAATCTGCGAGCTATTCAGGCGTGTGCTGCAAAAACAGTTAGTGCTACATGTATATAATGTATGGTGAAAATATTTATCTTAAATAGTCCTACAAAAAATTCTGCGACACCATATATATCTATCTTTTATGAGTAAGCCATTATTGTCAAAATAGTGAACCATAAATACAATAAAAATTGATAATTTATTTCTAATGCACATTTGGTAGTAATAAATGGATCCTTATCAAAATGAATACTTTTATCGCTTTTGGTATTTAAAGGAGATAAATTTTGTCCTTCACAATACATCATTTGGACAAATATTTTAATAGTTACGACGATGACAAACCGAACGCGCGATACTATGGTATGTTACGGTCCGACGGGCGGCGCGGCGGGCGAATGGAGCGGGGTCGGTCGCGGTGAGGTGGGAGGAGAAGTCGCTCATCGCTGAGTGCGCGACCCGAACGCGGGCAGACGCGTTATTACAGTGCGAATGTAACATCTCAATATTGTCAGACTGTTATATTTTTCAAATACGACCCAAAAATTATGTATGTTATAATTTTAATGTCATAATGTTAGTTCTTTTCACGCTAATATAAGCTACTCGAAATACTAATACTGCGCACACGAAGTCGCGGGCACCAGTTATTGATACATAAAGACCTTGCTTTTATTCGAATTACACGCAGACGAAGTCGCGGGCAAAAAAGCTAGTGTAAAATAAAATTACCTGATTTCTAGTTTTTTCCACGAGATATCAACATGAAAATTGTTGTCTTAAAATTCCATGCCTCATCCATGTCTTAAAAATCAAGTTTTATCTTAGCCTACCATTCATCATGAAAATTGTTTTAGCTGAGGGGATATTACATAATTTCTGTGTGGGCCCATTAAAAACATCAGAAGTGATCGTGCGCGCGCGCAGACTGATGGAGTAGTTGTAGACTGCAGCCCCGTCTGTATTGTGTGTTTAATGCGATTCAACTAAGAATAGGACCGACTGGGCGCCATATTGTGATGTCATAGCTTTCAATTCAAACCAAATAGGTAGAGTGAACAAAAAAAAGTTTTTATTTAATAAAACTTATATACTATGATTAAGTGAGAAAAAGCATCAGTTTTTTTTAATAACATTTATTTACTAAGATTGAGAAAAATAAAACACCGATTTTTAATAATCTTTATTTATAAAGAATGTGAGAAAAAACATTAATCAGAATCTAGCTCTTGTATTCCGCTCATCTCTGCATTATCGCCGGAGTAGTTATGAATAATCATGCACTATTACTAGGTCACATACGAGAATGCATCCTTTATGTAAACGAATGTTTGAAATCGAGTTTCTGAACGCAACTTAAAGTGACACTCGGTTGACGATTTAGGTTATCAACCATTCATGGCCAAAACTCAATAAGTGAAAAAAAATATCAACCGATATTAATTATCAATATTTGTTATTGTTACTTTACAAATGTTTGGTTTTTATTCTTGAATGCTAAAAAGGATTCCAAGTTTTTTTTGCAAACCGTACTTTTCAAGCGACATTTGACAGATAGAGGTCATTGGCTTTCCTATTCTTATTTGAATCGCATTATACGTACTGTCTTCATGCGTGGCGCAGTACGCGGCCGGCGAGGCGGGGCCGGGCCCGGCGGCGGTGCGCGCGCGCAGGCTGATGGAGTAGTTGGCGGCGCGCTGCAGTGACTGCAATACGGTCTGCGTGCCGCCCGCGCGACGTGTTTCGACCGGACTATCTGGGTCGTTCACTACCTGCGAGTATAGAAGTAAAACTTTCCTTACCATTTGAATGGGATAAAAGCTCTCAACTCGTGTGTAATATTATTCTGTCCATATACAATATAACTGTTCCTAACGAATAGAACGATTAAGGTAAACTTAAATGATTTATATGTGCATTCAAGCAGGTAATTTAGATTCATAACTGGATTCAGCAGTTGGTGCTGCAGACGGATTCTACGATATCTTTATTATTTTAATCGCGCAGTACAACACCTGATGTTCTGTCAGCAGAATACATCTACGTACCTCAGCAACAGCAACTTTTATACTAGCAGTATCCTTGGCATTCAAAGCTAAACCATAATACCAGCTGAATTGTTCTACCAGTCTAACTTACTGCAATGTTATAGAAGCAAGAAATATTTCCATGTATTTTATGAAGCAAACATTATACCTGCAGGATTTCCGGCTACGGTCAGACTCTGACCCACAATTCTACTGACTTGTGTTACCAATCTATAACTTACATAAAGATAATTGTCTCCATGTACCTAATAGTTAGTACTGGATCCGCAAAGCTTGTGCCACAGTTGTGGGACCTTAATAGGCTCAACAGACACCAATTTCATATGAAATTGAGTGACACTGATGTTTGCAGATACTGCAATCAGGAGCGTGAAACACCAAAACACCTTCCATGTGAATGTGGGCCTCTTATCCACAAATGCATGTATATGTTGTCCCAAATGGCAATGTGGCCATAATTCCAACGCTTTGTCGCACTATCCGTAAATGGAATACTCTGCCCGCTCACGTGTTCCCTTCCTCTTACAACCTGGGATCCGTTAAAAGAGGCGTGAAGAAGCAACATGCAGGCCGGCAGGGTGAGTATGGCTGGTGTGGCAGGTAAAACTGCTGTATCAGCTATCTTCACGTCTGGACTTCACCTTCACTTAACATCAGGTGCGGTGAAGTCATTTGTCGGGCCTATGTATAAAAAAAAAATGAATACTGCTATAATACACCCAGAGGAAATCAAATCTTTAAAAGCTAGATCTTTTAGGTCGCAGTGACTACAGTCCCATTAGGACTGAATAGCCCTAAAAATCTAAATAACAATAAAAGGTTGATGATGTGAAGGGTTGTACCTCATAGATCAGCTCGTATCCCAGCAGCACGCCCCCGCGCGCGGCGCCGGGCGGCGGCTCCCACCACACGCGCAGCGACTGCGCGGACATCGCCTCGCAGCGCACGCGCTCCGGTGGGGCTTCAGGGGCTAAAATATCAAAATGAACATATAGATTACTTCTATGCTATTTTATAGGGAACCGGCAGAGCCATCTATTAGAGGACGGTGGTACTAACCATAACACAGTCCTCTCGCCCACAGACAACGCCCGTAGACTGCCCCTACGGCTAAAGAGGCGTAAGGCCGGCACGCTATAGCGATAATATGATTAAAATAGGATAGTTTGGTATAAGTTTTCGGGACGACACACTTTTTTGGCTTTATCAAGCACTCCGGAGCGTCTAATATATATTTAACTAAGTAGATATTGTTCTTATGCTAAGAAACCTTTTATTTAATTGTGTTTATGTGTTTGCATTCATTAAATTCAGTGTCATTGAACTGTTTGCCGTCTTATTTACTAAAACTTACAATATGTTAACGATGTGCTGAAGGCTTAGATACCTGAACGTATCGGGGAAGTGTTTTCAATACGTAGAAAACGTGATTTACACATCATCGTAGAGCAATACTTTTGTAGTATCAATTTTTTTTCGTATTTGTTATGTCTGAGTAAATTACACGTTTGACACTCCACCAAGTGTGTGTGTGAAGGTAAACTGAGACTGCCGTTAAAATTCGAACTAAAATCCCGATGTGCTCTATTTCTTTAAAATAAAATATCCAAAGAGACTATTACACCTTATTACGGGACTGAAAATTATAACCTGATATGACTATGCTGCCACTGTTCATGTACTGACTTAAAGTACTAGTAATATTTCTGAACTTAAAATTTCGATAATGACGATTGCGTACAGCGTAAATACGCAGGCAATAATTAATTTGTATGAATTTTCATGGATTTCCAACTGTGCTCGTGTCTCGCCGCGCTCACCTGTTTCACTCTAATATCACCCGTTTTGGTCGTTTAAAAACAACCTTTTTTTTAACCGGGGAAATGCGTTAAAGGTCGCAGAAAGTAACTCTAGCCCTGAACTAAACGCGTCATAGATAGCTGCGTGTGGCGGCGACATCTACACGCCCCACATATAACTAACATGGAGGAAACAATCTTACGCCTCCTCAAGAGATGGCACTACCGGCGTCTACATCGCGCAAGTAAAATTCGGTAGCCAACAGTTCATATATACGATGCCCGACGAATATCAGTCTGGCCGCGACCCCCGAGCTACCATCACCTAGCTCGGAGGAAGATCTTCCTCTTTGGCCTTCCTACAGTGGTGACCCCGACGGGATCCAGGATTAGGGAGGCCGCCTAGGAGGAGGCTCTTTGCCTACAAAAATTTGGATACACCAAAATAAGAAAGAAAAAAAAAGACAATACCTTAACTTAAGAAATGTTGTCTATGGAATAAATAAAGAACAAAATGGAGACAAGACGATACGTAATAAAAACCACGTCTTCGGACCATTTAACAACGTGGTACGGCATCATAAAATTACACTGTGCATTATAAACCGGGCCGAGAAAGACACTGTACGATCGGCAATATTTACGAGACAATTTTACAATCCGTGGCCCGAAAAACCGTTCGCAGAATGCCGGAGCGTCTTCACCGACAAAGATTGATTACCGCGAATATCCAGAAAATGAGATTAATTATGGGCCCTAACCTTGACATGGGCTCCTTCTTGAGAATTAACCACGCCGATTAGAATCCAACCTGCCTGTTAGTCTATGTGGAAGGAGTAAGCGCCTGGTTGGACGGCTTAGCAGTGGTTGTATTGTTTCATACTACTCACAGCTTACCTCCTTCGAGCGTGGTGGCGGTGAGCGGGGCGGCGGAGGGGCCGGCGCCGACCGCGTTGAAGGCGCGCACTCGCACCTCGTAGTGAGCGTGCGCTCTCAGCGAGGCCAATTGGACCTGCCAACAATAGGTATCTCATGTACTAGAGACCACAAAACACAGAAAGTGGTTGAAAGGATGATAATAGATGATTCAAGTGTGAGATTGAGAATATCAAAAAAGGTGAAAGTAATAACGTTAAAAACTACTGCCCAATATCTATTCTGAATGCAATATCAAAGTTATTTGAAAAAAATATCTGCCCGTTTTTAACTTCCCATTTTAAAAACATCATTCATGCAAACCAGCACGGATTCTGTAAACATAAATCAGCAGCAACCAATCTTGTTTCGTATGTCAACGATCTAACGAAATCAATCGACTCTGGCGTAGAAATGGAATCTCCATTTATACAGATTTTAGCAGTGCGTTTGACAAGGCTGACCACAACATACTGTTTATACAACTGAAGCGTTACGGAATTCATGGACCCCTTCTGCTATGGCTCCGTTCTTACTTAGAGCATCGGTTATTAAGGGTAGTTGTGAACAATTACAAATCGAAACCATTCCTACCTCACCTCGTTGGGAGTCCCCCAGGGTTCGATCTTGGGACCAATTCTGTTTATCGTTTTCATTAACGATATCCCTGATAAAATCCGGTATAGCAGCTGCTCTCTTTTTGCCGACGATTTAAAGTTGTATCGACCGATCAAAAACGAGGAAGATATACTTTTGCTCCAAAAAGATCTGGACTCGGTATCGCAATGGTGCGTAGACCACGGTATGACTCTTAACGTAAATAAATCTCTATTTATAAAATTTACCAGAAAGACAAAAAACATTAACGCTTCTGTCTATACCATTAATTCTGCACAGCTAACCGAAGTGGGTTCGACTCGTGATCTGGGCATTGTAATTGACAAAAAGCTCGGATTCATTGAACATATTTACGTTATTGTTGCAAAGGCATTAAAAATGTTGGTTTTCTTGAAACGCCTATGTAATAATTTCCATAACAATTTTATGCTTGTATAACAGTTTAGTGCAGAGTATACTAGAATACAGTTCCCAAGTCTGGAATCCGCAATATCGAGTCCACATTGATAGAATCGAGTGAATTTTACGAGGTTTCTTGCTTTCAAAGACAAGAAGTGTCCTTACCGTGCGGATTACCACACTCGTCTCAAATACTTAAAACTTCATACCTTAGAAAAGCGTAGAAAAACCGCGAACATTTTATTTCTGCACAAATTACTTCACGGCAATATTGTTGCGTAAGACCTTCTTGCGGAAATTAAGTTAAAGGTTCCCAGAAAAATCCCGCGCCAACCCATCAAATCATTCGTTAACTGTCCCTTTAAAACAAAATTAGCTTCACCGTTTAACAGAATTAAAGATGCATACAACGAGATATGCCATGATTTGAGTTGACATCTTTCATGCTCCACTCAAAGCCCTCAAAAATCATTTGTATGGTAACGTTCAAACCGAACAGTAATTTGTTACTGTTAAAAATATAAGTACCTACCTACATATAGTCAATGTTGTACATGCCTGCAATGGCAATTCACACAGTTGCACCTTTAATCTTTATTGAAATTTGTGAAATTGTCGATGGTATGTCAAATAAATAAATAAAAAATAAAAAATATTCGCAAATTTACAACGAACTGATTTTTTTTAAACTGCCAGCAATACATCAATCGTATTACAGAACCCAAGAAAGAGTTGATCAGTACCTGCGTAGCACTCCATCCAGAGGCTGTGATTGCCTGAGTTGCGTTTTCCGGCTCAGTGGAACCGGCCTCTCGCCAAGTCACCACATAACCAAGCAGTTCACCGTTCCAAGACTCTTGAGGTGGCGCCTGTGGGAAAAATAAAAAAGTGTTACAATAGATATTATTATACTACTCTGGGAACGCGATTAAAGTAGTTAAGTATGGGCTATTGAATTCTAAACTGAGAATCAACGAAGTGAATAATACTGAGCAATCTTGTGGGGCAGTATGAGAAGCCTCACAGCCCGCAGTTCCTAGTTAGGAGAAGTGGCATATTTAATGTATGAATAATAATTTGTCTGTGCGCATAATTAGATAAGCATTTGTATAATGGTAAAGGCAATAGTACAAACACCATACTTAAAAAATAATAATAATAGAAAATAACCAGAGAATGGTATAAATGCTCCTCCACCAGGATTCTATGACTTAACTAACACGAAAGTTTGTCGGTTGCCACTTGACTACAAATTTCGTTAAAAATATCATAGCTTGCTATATATTTACCAAGAAAAGACTATCTATCTTTAAAAGACCTAAGTTATCATAAATAACTGACACAAACCTGCCATTTGATTAGAAGTTCTCCTGGTGCAGTTGCTTGAACTTGAACATTGTGAGGAGGCTCCGATGGTGCTAAAAAGGAATTTCATACATTTTACTGTGCTTAGTACATACTATCATAACTATTATCTCTTTCGTTTCACCATCGTTATCAGTGACACATAAATGCTGATTTCAGTTGAAATAAATATACAGAGCCAGGAAAACGTTTCCAAACAAAATCATTAATTTTGGATTAATATTAAAGGACTATTAGGGAGAGGGGCTGCCTATAACTATTTCTTAGATGATTTTCAAAATTTGGCATCATTTTGGGGTAGTTTTAGTCTAATGGCGACGATATTAAAACCAAATTTGCACGTAATACCCGCAAAGATGATCTTCAAAGTACGTATATTTTAAATAGATTTTTTTGTTTGGCATTTCATTCAATGTGGTTTTTTTCAAAATACAAAAGCAGCAAGCAAGAAGGTTACCTTCTTCCAAAGTCTGCAGGATGACGGACTCGGAGTAGTCGCTGTCGCCAATGGCGTTGACGGCGGCCAGGCGCAGCGCGTATGCGGTGGCGGGACGCAAACCCTCCAGCCGGTACTCCAGGATCACTTCCGAATCGGGCTCAGAGGATTCCTGTCTGGAGTTACACTTGTTGTCATGAAGTTGTAAGTTTAAAGGGGTTGGTTACAGTGTCTGATATAAGGCCAATTAAAAGGCTTCCATATCGATCAATTTATTAAAAAAGGACCTTTACCATTTTGAAAACATGATATGTGTCAACCTCTTTCCCTTATTATAAAATGGTAAAAGCAACTTTTTTCAAGATTATTTTAGGGCTACGATAGCGTTATTGATGGTTTAATTTATTGAAGATAATAGGGATGTTGACGGGGTACAGTAAACGAAATTCTATTTAGTCCGTCAGTTAGATGATCAAAAATAATGGATACGTATTTTTTCTTTCGGCAATCAACCAAAAAATGACAAAGTTATAGCGCGTCAAAGTTTGGGAGTAGGGGCTCGTGACGTCACTTTTGAGTGAATTTTCACTTAAAAGTGTACTCAAACGTGACGTCATGCGACTTTTTAAATCAATATATCTCTGCAATGTTTATATTATGTGAAAAAAGAAAAAATACGTGTCCAATACTTTTTGTTAATCTACCTGATAAACGAAGAAAAAAAATTAGTCATCATCCCTATTATAGCAGACATATTCTTTCGAAAATGCGGTACTGCGGGAGGTGGGATACTTTTGCAGCAGGCTGGCGGCGGGCACTAGGCGTGCGGGCGCGTCGCTCCAGTGGTCGGGCGGGGGGGGGGGCGGCGCCCACCGCGCGGTACTGCAGGCGGTAGGATCGCACGCGCGCGTTGGTGTCGTACATACCTCTGCAGCAGGCTGGCGGCGGGCACTAGGCGTGCGGGCGCGTCGCTCCAGTGGTCGGGCGGGGGGGGGGGCGGCGCCCACCGCGCGGTACTGCAGGCGGTAGGATCGCACGCGCGCGTTGGTGTCGTACATACCTCTGCAGCAGGCTGGCGGCGGGCACTAGGCGTGCGGGCGCGTCGCTCCAGTGGTCGGGCGGGGGGGGGGGCGGCGCCCACCGCGCGGTACTGCAGGCGGTAGGATCGCACGCGCGCGTTGGTGTCGTACATACCTCTGCAGCAGGCTGGCGGCGGGCACTAGGCGTGCGGGCGCGTCGCTCCAGTGGTCGGGCGGGGGGGGGGGCGGCGCCCACCGCGCGGTACTGCAGGCGGTAGGATCGCACGCGCGCGTTGGTGTCGTACATACCTCTGCAGCAGGCTGGCGGCGGGCACTAGGCGTGCGGGCGCGTCGCTCCAGTGGTCGGGCGGGGGGGGGGGCGGCGCCCACCGCGCGGTACTGCAGGCGGTAGGATCGCACGCGCGCGTTGGTGTCGTACATACCTCTGCAGCAGGCTGGCGGCGGGCACTAGGCGTGCGGGCGCGTCGCTCCAGTGGTCGGGCGGGGGGGGGGGCGGCGCCCACCGCGCGGTACTGCAGGCGGTAGGATCGCACGCGCGCGTTGGTGTCGTACATACCTCTGCAGCAGGCTGGCGGCGGGCACTAGGCGTGCGGGCGCGTCGCTCCAGTGGTCGGGCGGGGGGGGGGGCGGCGCCCACCGCGCGGTACTGCAGGCGGTAGGATCGCACGCGCGCGTTGGTGTCGTACATACCTCTGCAGCAGGCTGGCGGCGGGCACTAGGCGTGCGGGCGCGTCGCTCCAGTGGTCGGGCGGGGGGGGGGCGGCGCCCACCGCGCGGTACTGCAGGCGGTAGGATCGCACGCGCGCGTTGCCGTCGTACCCGCGCCGCCACTGCACCACCGCGCCGCGTGCCTCCCGCTCCACCACCTGTAAGCCGCGAGGTGCTTCCGGAAATTCTGCAAACAAAATTCAAGATAAAAGTCTTCCAATAGAATGTTTGCGGAAGTAGAATCGATTCCTGCACATCCCCTGCTTTTGTTAGGAGACTATTAAGATGGGATTTTAGAAAGCAATAAAACGAGGACTTACAGCCAAACACGTAAAGTGGCATGTCAGCTAAACAGCCAGAAGTGCCTATAACCTCCGGACTAGAATCCTAACCCAGTTTACCGTGGGTAACAAAGGTTCTTTTTGAGAGACATCGAGACCATGTAACCATCTTGGCGAAATTATGTTCGCCAACAACAATTCACATAGATACTGGTCACAAAAAATCACGTGAGCGCAAGCTGCCATCAAACTACTACTAGCTACATCTCTCAGAATTAGTTTCACCACTCAGTTACAAACAGAGATGAGAACTTCAACCCATTATCAGTAATAATCTTTGAGATTATCATAACAATTAAGAAACTTTCATTCTCTGAGCAAATTTATGAAAAAACCGGAATCCAATTTAAGGACATCAAATAGTCATAAAAAAAAAATTCGGTTACTTTTCAACGAGTGCCAATCACTCCTGAATCTCGTATTTAACCCAATGCTAAAAATGTGCTAAGCAATCAATGTAACATGTATACTAGTAAATACTGGTCAATAAATTCCTCTTGATTGGATGCTTACCTTGAACAGCCAGATAGATCAGCAACTCGTCCCGTCCATAGGAGTTTTCTGCACGACACCGATAAACGCCCGAGTCGTGGCGTTCTGCGTGCGCGATGTTCAACTGAGAGCTGACTCCGCTGTCTGACCGCTTCTCTGATACCGACACCCTGAAAATAAATCGTCATCATCATCAGCCTATTAATGTCCCCACTGCTGGGGCACAGGCCTTCCCTATGGATGGAATAGTTAGATTGGGCCATGACCCACCACGCGGGCCCAGTGCGGATTGGTGGGTGCTAACGAGTGCAGATGCAGCCGGGACCAATGACTTAACGTGCCTTCCGAAGCACGGAGGTGCTCGAGATAGTAAATTTTTGGTCACCCATCCAATGACCGACCACTGCGAAAGTTGCTTAACTTCAACGATCGCAGCCGAACGCGCTAACCACTTGCGCCATCAAGCTCCTCAATCGTCATTATCGGCCTTTTATTAACCCTACCACTGAAGTCCAAATGAGCAGAATAGAAATAATGAGCCATGACCCACAACACAGGCTCAATGCGGACTGGTGGCCAATAACGACTTCAGGCGTACTAACCAACTACCTTTACAAATGACTCCGACAAATGACTCCACCCCACCTGATGTTAAGTGGTGGTGAAGTCCAGACGTGAAGATAGCTGGTACAGCAGTTCTACCTGCCACGCCAGCCATTCTCACCCTGCCGGCCTGCATGTTGCTTCTTCACGCCTCTTTTAAAGGATCCCAGGTTATAAGAAGGAGGGAACACGTGAGCAGGTAGAGCATTCCATTTACGGATAGTGCGACAAAGAAATGAGTCACCAAATTTCTTTGTACGCCTTGGAATTATGGCCACAGTTAGACGGTGACACCGAAGGCCAGCGCGCGTGGTCCTCTGAAGGAAAGGGGAAGGTGGAATAAGAGAGAATAACTCTTCAGAACACTCGCCGTGGTACAGACGATAGAAGGCGCTTAGTGACGCCACGTCACGGCGTAATTGAAGAGGCTCGAGGTGTTAAGTCACATTCTCATCGCCTATGATGCGGATCGCACGCCGCTGTAACCTATTCAAAACATTCAGCAAGTATTTACTTGGCGGAGCCATCCCAGAGTTGCGAGCAATATTCCACGCAAGACCGCACCTGCGTCTTATCATATATCATATCACCAAAGGCCAGCGCGCGTGGTCCTCTGGTCTTTTCTACTTTGAATGCATACTAAAAGCGCTAATCACTGTACTGTTGAGATCCTATTGAAATTAAAATGAGATGTGTGAACATTAAGTATTTAGTGCGTGAAGTAAATGAGGAGGTAAGGAACAAAAAGTGACATTAACAGATTTTTCTAATTTTCTCCAAATTTAAATTCATTCTGTAACTCCCAAGATTTTGTTCAAAAAGTGAACAGTTTCATAGAAAAATAGATGTGAACTGTTGCTTCCGGAACAAAAAGTTACATTTTTATTCAATCAGAGTGATTATTAAGACTTGAATTCAAAAAGTGTCATATTCTTAAGAAATATATTTGAAGAGACTTTAGTTGGTTCAAACTGGGTACCTGATTGTGGAGAATAGGGATGATGACTATTTTTTTTTCTTCGTTTATCAGGTAGATTATCAAAAAGTATTGGACACGTATTTTTTATTTTTTCACATAATATAAATATTGCAGATATACATTGATTTGAAAAGTCGCATAACGTCACGTTTGAGTACACTTATAAGTGAAAATTCACACAAAAGTGACGTCACGAGTCCCTACTCCCAAACTTTGACGCGCTATAACTTTGCCATTTTTTGGTCGATTGCCCAAAGAAAAAATACGTGTCCATTATTTTTTTATCGTCTAACTGACGGACTAAATAGAATTTCGTTTACTGTACCCCGTCATCACCCCTATTACATGTGTAAGAAATAAAAATGTTTTTTGTAAATCTATTTTTATTTTCAAACTGAATGTTTCATAAGGTAACATTTTATAGACAGTCACTTTCAAAAGGTGACATTTTACAAAATTATTGAATCAAATAGTGACATTTACAAGCTATTGGATCAATGGGTGCCATTTGATATATATATTTTTTTCCAAGTTTCAAAACCAGCAAGACAACATTATAATACATTTAATTTTATACAATAATTGACGCATAAATGGTTAGTAAAAATTGCTTAGAACAACTTGAATATTTTATTTTCTCAATTTACTCAAGAAGTTAAAATTTGTAAATGACACTTTTTGTTCCTAATCACCTCAAATATCTTATAGCACTCTAGTATAGTATCCTTAGCACGAACCAATATCGAATTCGAATAGATAGCGAGAGCGAAATGTCCATGTCAATTTTTGTAAGGAAACTTGAACAGCAGCGCCATAACAGACGTAACGAGAACTAAAATCAATACGCATTTTGTGAAGGATTATAGCCACAAATAAAATAAAATCTAAACATCAACCGAGATTTATTATGATATACGTTTGCACACACCTTACACAGTTTAACAGAAAGCAGAGAAGACTGGAAACGGTCGTAATGAAATATTGACATTGTATGCGTTTAATTTAATATTGCTTTGAAATTTGGCATTGACATTAGGCGCTCGCAAACTATTCGAATTCGATATTGGTTCGTGCCAGAACTACTGTTCATCTGATTGATCTTGATCAAAATAGAAAACTTTATTGTTGGTATAAAAACTGCAACCACGGTCACTGGCTTTAAGATTACTAAATAAATTGACATTGTAATTAATATATTTAACATTTATTGTGTGTAAGAATAATGTGAATTGTAATTGACTAGTAAAAAAATATGACATTTTAAATATAACGTGACATTGAATTGACTAAGCTTTGAATGACATCTAAATGAATTGACATTGTAATTAATATATTTGATATTTAATTGGCTATTAATAATTGAATTTATATTGTATAACTAACCACAAAAATTTGACTGTGGGTAGGCTTAAAACCAGCTGCGCTGTGCCTACTCCTTTTTCCAATTCATATTTAATACTTATATATAATGTAATAATAAGGTATGGAAATAAAGCACTTGTATTTGTATTAAGGCTTACGCAGACCGGGACGCCATGGCAAGGGATTTTGCCGTGAGTCAGCGCACACTGGCCGCTTAGATACCGCGGCATTCCAGCACTATGCCACGGCATGCCACGGCGTGCCGCGGCACGACAAAGCCCGCTTCAGCAATTTGGTGTAGATATCGATTATTGCAGATGAAGAAGTAGGTGCATAGGCTGATAATAGGGATAGAAGAAGATTTTGGGTTGGTAATCTATGGAAAGAAAGGGAATCAAAGGGTGAATTCCCCGCTTCTCTACCCCCGCCGCCGCACCCCGCAGTATATCACTACGAGCGCCGGAGTCCGTGGCATGCCGTTGCCTACCGCAGTATGCCATGGCATCCCGCCACGGGAGCCTGTGGCACGTCTTTTAATGCCGTGCGATGAAATCCCTTTCAATGCCACGGCATCATTTTAAAGCATAGCAATTTATGTCGTATTTCTGTAACAGTACGGTTGAATGTCCATTAGTAAAAATTTAAATCCCTTGCCATGTCGTCCCGGTCTGCGTAGGACTTTATCAAAGGTATACTTAAATTACTGCTATTGTATTACTGACCTATAAGTAGTAAGGTCTACCCTCTTCATATTGTGCGTCCACTGCAGTTGTATGGGGGGATCGCCGCGCGCGTCGCACTGCAACGTCGCCTGCGCGGTCCTCTTCACTGTCATGTTGCGAGATGAGAACTCAAAATGGGCTGGTTCTGTGAAAAACGATTGTTAGTAGTAGTAGTAGAAATCAGTCTTATGAAGCAAAGAAGAATCAGTTTATAAATATTTTATTTCAAGCACATCATCAAAATAAAATTACATCATCATTTTATAAAGTTACTAGCTAACCCAGCGAACTTCGTACCGCCATAAAAAAATAGGGGTTGGTGGTAGAAAGTTGAAAATTTAGGGATGTATGTATTTTTGTATGATGTATCATAAAAATAAAAAAAAATGAAAAACTAAAATTGAAAAAAAAATTAGGGGTGGATTACCCTTAACATTTAGGGGGATGAAAAATAGATGTTGTCCGATTCTCAGACCTACCCAATATGCACACAAAATTTCATGGGAATCGGGAAAGCCGTTTCGGAGGAGTTTAACCACAAACACCGCGACACGAGAATTTTATATATTAGATTTAATTTTAATTAATTCTGATAAAAACTGGCCAAGTCAAATGTAACCTACTTTAAGAACTCACATTTTTAATTTTTAAATAATAGCAATTTTTATAGGTATCCAATAAAGCAAAGAAATAGAGTTTAATACTTGTTCATAATGTTCTTTTGTTCATATAAATACATATTTGGATTTTGCATTGAACTTGGCACTTATTTAGATCTCCATTCTTTTTGTGGCGAAGCCCACAGCCAAGCATAATTTTTGTATTGAACTTGGCTCTCCTTTTTTACAAGCTTTTATTAAACTTGCTATGTATGTTTGTTACGGTCAAATCTTACAACTTAATTTTAAAGCACTTGCTCTCAACCGATTAAGCTGAAATTTGATATGCTCCTTCAGTTCGGATGACAATGCATGATTAACAGTGTGACGTTATTCTAAATCCAATATGGCGGCATACCCAAAATGGCGGACCAATCATTTTTAATGCATTCCTACAATATGGGTATCAAATTAAAGGGCTTGCTGAGAGTAACTCGAAAAAAATGTGACGTCACTCTCAATCCAATATGGCGGACTTCTGAAATTTGAAAATCTATTTAGAAACAGATATCTTTAACTAATTTAGTTGAAATTTTCTTTTTTTCTTTTTAGCGCATTTGAATAAAAGCTTGTTTTTAAAAAGGTTTTTTTTACCTTAATTTTTTATATTTATGTTTTTGGTGGGATATCATTACTTTTTGTAAAGAAAACTAGGCAGGTATTGACGAAACACCGTTCGCCGGTTGTTCAGCGCGTATTACAACTTTTTTTGACTTAACTTTATTTTTATATATCTGTTATATAGCAAATATAATAATACATATATTGGGATAGTTACAAATATCTGCTTGTATGCTTCTTACGGTTCCAACGCTACAATTCTTATTATTTTGTATGGGGTACTCCCACGTTCCCCCGTATACATATTGTACCCCCCCCCCCCCCCATATTTTTTTTCTATTTTATTTTTCCTACACTTACACACAATTACCGAGCTGGATTCCAAATTTCATCCTTCTAGATCATCTGAAAGTAGGTAAGATTTAGGTACTATATGTCAGTCAGTCAGTGCTAAAATTAATGACATTTTGACCTTCATCTCATTATGACCGTTTGAGCTATCTTCATGAAATTTGGGCTTCTAGATGTCCTTATGGATGTAATTAAACACACGTAGTTTTATGTGTTTACGTTAAAGGGGTTTTGAGTTATAGAAGGGTCAAAAGTGGCACAATGTGGTTCGTGTAATATTACACACGGCGCTGGCTAGCCAGTTCCTTTGCTTGAACTTGGCTTGACATGCTGCCGCGTATCTAGCAAAACCATAATTTTAAATACCTACCACACAGTAAATAAAATCTTTTTTTCTGTACAACTTTGTGACTCGACATTATAATTAATTTTACCGTTAACTGATATAGTGATGACTTTCGACAGGCCGCGGCCTATCCCATTCTCAGCACGGCACATGTACTGCCCTTCGTGGTGGTGCGCTGCGGGAGCTATGCTCAGCGAGCCATTAGCCAATACCGAAAACTGGAGATCGAGGTTCGAGACTGGACGAAAATCTACTCCTGATCCTGTAAAAAGTAATTTAGGAAGTAAAGAAAAACATCAGTAAAGATAATAATACTAGTTATAAATGTTTATTGAACTTAAGTTTACAATAAATTACTTAATTCTAGAAATAACAAAAGATATTTAACTTATACTATAGCCTGAAATAGGTAAACTGGCAATTGGTAGGGTCTTCACAAAAATGAACTTACAATTGTCTGCTTATTGGAGCAGTCATGGCTTTGCATATACTAAATCTGTTGTATTTAGTTTTGTTGGAGTTAAATGTAAGTAGATGCTGCTACAGCTAGCTGCTTACAATGTTAAAGACTTTTTGTGTACATTTGTGAACTTGTTCCTTAGAACTTGCAGAAAATAGTAAGACAGTATCGCCTGCATAAGATTTTTTTCTGCTACTTTCCAGTTTCAGATTACACAGGTCATTTATATACACCAAAAATAGAGAGGGGCCTAAAATATTTCCCTGAGGAACCCCATAACAGGTGTTGTCTAGATCTGAACTAATAATTACCTATTTTTACACACTGAGTTTAATTTTGAGTGCATTCACATAGATAATTCTCAAATAATTTAAGCTGAGTGCCACAAATTCTAGCTTTTGCAACAAGATGGAAACAGAAACTTCATCAAATGCTTTTGCTAGGTTAAGAAATATACCTAACCTATTGTCATATAACCCTTATCGAGCTCCTGTACTAAATAGTCAATAAATTGATGAACAGCGTCGGCAGTTAGTAACTTGGACCTTAAACCAAACTGATATTTGGAAAGTACAGATTTGTTTTCCAAATATTTCATGAGTCTATTGTTAATATTTTATCCAAAATTTTTGACATTGCAGGAAGAAGTGAAATGATTCTATGGTTTGTCAGATCTCTGCCAGATTTAAATACAGGAATAACGATTGCTTTATTCAAACACTTTTGGAAAATATTAGTAAGTGGTGGAACGAGGATGTGATGATATTGTTTTAATATTTTATTATATTATAAAGATGATAAATATTTAATTTTAAACTCGTAAAAAGGAGCTCGATGGTGAAGGTGGCTAGCGCATTTGGCTGGCGACCGTAAAATCAAGTAATTGTAAGTTTTAATATTGGTCAGTAATTAATGATGGCTGACCAAAAACTTAATATCTCGAGTTCCTCCGTGCGTTGGAGGAGACGTTAAGCCATTGGTCCAGGCTGCAGTGAGCCAATCCAATTCGAACTGAGCCGACGTAGTAAGCCACGGCCCAAACTCCCAATTCCATTCATAGGCAAGGCTGTGCCCCAGCAGTGGGGTAATGATGACGATGATGATAATAGGTAAAAGATGATAAAAATTTACCATGTCCTTTTAGCCAAGAAATTCTCGGTTCAGGATATCCTTTGGTGGCGCAATGGGCTAAAATTTGAGTTCCTAGTAATGCTGACACATCTTGAGGTTCGTACACCCATGATGGTGCAACTGAAAAGGTAAGAAAAAACATAAATTTTTTAGACGAAACTGGCAAGATAATGACAAAATATTGTTAATGAACACACCTTTAACAGCAAGTCTTGCTGTGTGGTTTACTTCTGCCGCAGAATTACTAGCGACACAGGTATATTCGCCACTATGCTTAGATGTCACATGGGAGAAGATCAAAAAACTAAACTCATCCAGCGATTTCTCTTGTACCTGAAACGCAACATCTACATAAGTCGTTTGCATTAGTCCGAAGCCATTTTTTCAGTAGATACAATTTGGTAATATACCTGTAAATTTGATGGAATGTGCTGTCCATCTTTCAGCCAAGAAAAATAAACTGGTTTGTCTCCTGACGTGATACCACAAAGGACTTGGACAGAACTGCCTTCCACCAAGTCAGTTGGAAAGGAAAACCCAGCTATTTTTGGTGGATCTGCAAAACAAATTATAATAATGATCTATCCGTATTCTGGACGGCGAATATTTTAACCTTTTAATGTATTGTGTCTTAAACCAGGAGATGTTTCTTCTTCAAAGAAAAGCCATAATATTGTATACTAGCTGTGCCCGCGATTTCGCTCACGTGGACTTTTTTTTTATCGATAGGTCCGACAAATGACTCCACCCCACCTGATGTTAAGTGATGGTGAAGTCCAGACGTGAAGATAGCTGGTACAGCAGTTCTACCTGTCAGTCCAGCCATCTTCATCTTGCCGGCCTGCATGTTGCTTCTTCACGCCTCTTTATAGGATCCCAGGTTGTAAGAAGGAGGGAACACGTGAGCAGGCAGAGCAATCCATTTACGGATAGTTCGACAAAGAAATGAGTCACCAAATTTCTTTGTACGCGTTGGAATTGTGGCCACAGTTAGACGGTGACACCGAAGGCCAGCGCGCGTGGTCCTCTGAAGGAAAGGGAAGGGTGGAATAAGAGAGAATAACTCTTCAGAACACTCGCCGTGGTACAGACGATAGAAGGCGCTTAGTGACGCCACGTCACGGCGTAATTGAAAAGGCTCGAGGTGTTTAGTAACCTTCTCATCACCTATGATGCGGATCGCAGGCCGCTGTAACCTATCCAAAGCATGGAGTAAGTACTTGGCGGAGCCATCCCAGAGGTGCGAGTAATATTCCACGCAAGACCGCACTTGCGTCTTATATAACAAGCACAGTTGCTCAGTTCAAGTTGTCAAGTACAGTTCGGAAAATAACAACATACCGTAAGTAGGTGACATGATTTTCCTGGTAAAATGAAGCTCTCTTCTTGCATTTATTTAAGCTATTACTTCTTCTTCTTTGAAAACGATATTAATTGGGCGATGGGGCCACATGGTATCGCTAGGATAAGGGAGATGAAAAATTCAAAATATATATATAGAAAGGAGGAGCTCGATGGCGCAACCGGTTAGCGCGTTCGGCTGCGATTGTTGAAGTTAAGCAACTTTCGTAGTAGTCGGTCATTGGATGGGTGACCAAAAATTTACTATCTCGAGCTCCTCCGTGCTTCGGAAGGGACGTTAAGCCGTTGGTCCCGGCTGCATCTGCAGTCGTTAGCACCCGCCAATCCGCACTGTGCCCGCATGGTGGGTCATGGCCCAATCTCCCTATTCCATTCATAGGGAAGGCCTGTGCCCCAGCAGTCGGGACATTAATAGGCTGATGATGATGATGATATAGAAAGGACTTCTTTGACTGACAATAAACATGTCTATGTAATGAATTCAGAAACAGATCAGGTTTCTGAATCTGATGAGATCCTTACTTCTCACGAATATTTGTATGTCCTTCTGTGCGTACTGTCCAGACGGAGCCGTGACTCTACAGGAGTAAACGCCGGCGTCTGCAGGTTCAGCCGGCCACAGCAGCAGCTCGCCGCTGAGACCTGACAACGCTCGTCCACCCGATGAGCCGAGGTCCAGCCCTCCACGCTGCCAACGGATCTCACTGGAACCAGATTGGATTTGTCAGAATTCATCAATGAAATTCCAAAGTTTAACTATAAATTAAATACATAAAATGTTTAAACTGTTATTAAATAGATTACCTGAAACGACCTAGTGAATAAAATAGGATAGGATATTAAATCTAATACAGAAAATACGAGTATAACTAGAGGTAGTTCAACTTGTGTCTGTATAAGATGCAATATGAACAACAGACTGACATTCTGAATCATTGTACCAATTTATCACATCTCTGTGATAATATTCTAATATTGCTTTCCAGATTGAATCCAAATATTTTAAAGTTGATAAAGGCAACGTAGCTACAAAACGTATTAAAATGAAACTTATAGTTTACTAAGCAAATGCACCTCCATCAACCTGATTGGAAATCCGGCGTACGGGCAATAGATGGTCGCGTTGATACCGGCGACCACGCGGATCGGGCCCACGTTCCTGATGGACGGAGGACCTGGAATCATCACCACAGATTTAAACACACCAGCCAACATTTTAGAAGGTACATTTATTTACTAACGTTTGTTTGAATTAGCAAATCTAAAACTACCTTCGTGTCTTATTGGGAGTATCCCAATGTCGCACTGGTTAGTAATCGATCTTAGATTAAGGATTAGACTGTCAACGGATTAGCTCAAAGTCCTCTCTGGTTCCTGGCGCATTAAAGGCCTTGGTTATGGTGTTCTCGCTAGCACCTACCAATTTGCATTAAGCCCGCTAATGAGTAATAACCTACTCTTTTTTGTCAGCTTACCAATAGAGAAGACCCTAGCGAGAACATTAGGAAACAGATAAGGAATTGTCCTGATAAATATTAATTACGATAGCTATGAAGCCTAAAACGACTGAATGCAGAAGAACTTTTATTATTAACTACATGCATGTGCAAACAAGGTTAAAAAGACAGAGCTTCATACAATTGGTTGCATCACACACGCGTGATGACCTGGCGATAGTCGCGTACTCAGAAAAATGATTCTATTGGCGGTTACACGCCGTCACTGCTCACTCAGACACAAGCACTGCATGATACTTTATCTGTGTGTGTTAAATACTCCATTTCTTTCCCGTGGTCCACCTCGTAGATTTAAACATCAAGCAGTTACGTGCTTTAAAAATAATAAAAATTATAACTATAATTGCTATTTCTTCTTTCAAATGTTTAATACTTGTAAAAGTATTCATTTGACATTGTGGGTTACCTATAATGCGAAGAGATGGCGCTGCCTTGCAGCTTAAGAATGGCTAGAAGAATTTCGACGCGTTCCGTGAGGGCCGCGGTAGCATAATTGGTCAGTGCATTCGCCCGGATTGCGAAGGGTGCGGGTTCGAGTCCCGTCTGCTGCCTGGTCCGCGTGGATTTTTTTCTAGTTATATTTTCGTTAGATTTAAACATCAAGCAGTTACGTGCTTTAAAAATAATAAAAATTATAACTATAATTGCTATTTCTTCTTTCAAATGTTTAATACTTGTAAAAGTATTCATTTGACATTGTGGGTTACCTATAATGCGAAGAGATGGCGCTGCCTTGCAGCTTAAGAATGGCTAGAAGAATTTCGACGCGTTCCGTGAGGGCCGCGGTAGCATAATTGGTCAGTGCATTCGCCCGGATTGCGAAGGGTGCGGGTTCGAGTCCCGTCTGCTGCCTGGTCCGCGTGGATTTTTTCTAGTTATATTTTCGTTAGATCATTTAATTAGCGTAGTTTTTCTAAAGCGAAGCCTAAAGAAATATTGTTGTTAATTAACTGCATCTGAATATCTTTTATATAATCATTGTTTTCAATTAATTTGCGCCTTTTTGATTTTCAATTCTCATTGTGCTCAAGACACTCAAGAGCCGTAATAAATTGGGGAAGAGTCAGGTGGACCACGGGTAAAAATTATTTGCCGTGGTTCAAGCAGGTGAACTACCTGGGGGGAGGGGGGGAAATACCCGTGGTCCACCTGGTGAACCACGGGGAATAATTTTACTATTAGTGTTGTTCTTCTGAGAAGCGTATCCTCTCTTCTAATAACCAATTGCGTGCCCGACGGGGTCCATAATGCTCGTATTTATACAAGTGCCTACCACCCACTGTACACATTATGGTTGCAATAAATGATTTGAGTTTGAGTTAAATAGTCCCCATGGTCCACCTGGGTGGACTATGAGGTGGACCACGGGAAACAAAGGAAATACTCATGTGTGTATACCCTAGTGGTGAGAAAATGGAATCCACATGATGAGTGGCTTACCATAAACGTTGAGCCGCGTGGAGTGCTCGACGGCCCCGCGCGAATTGTGAGCGCGACATGTGTACCGGCCGCCGTCCTCCGGCTTCACAGACGTGATGTTAAGGTAGCTCACCACGTCGCCGTTCGGGTTCATAAACTGCGTCACAGTTCTGGACACAAATATTATGTGCTTAAGGCATTATACAGCTGGCTACAGGTACTTGTCTTAAATATCAGAATTAACTAATATTTGTAAAGGAGATTGCTCAGCTTCCATACATGTTTGGCCTAAAGACCAATAATCATGAAAAATTCTTTCCTAGATTCGAAATTATATTTAAATTACTGTACAAACGAATACTATTGACGGACACCCCTGGGAACTTCTATAAACCATAAACACTGAATGAATTTGAGGTTATGTTTGCTTAGTAATAATTAAATTTTTGGTTATAAAATTGGTTTACAATGGTAAAAGGTAATTTTAATGTAATAACATATGCGTAGGTTCATGATAGTTCTGATCAAAGTGAAATATATTCGTGATATAGGTAACTTAAATATTCTGATAAGGTAGATTAATGAAATAAAACAACTTGAGTATTTTTATGTTGAGTTTAATATTACATATCATCACGATATTTTACATTTTTAGTGTATCACACCTTATAATGTGTTTATGAAGTTGTTTGGCGAAAAATGTATGGCAATAGCTACTGCACCCATAGCCATTAAAAAATATTCGTATGTTTTCCAAACCGTTAAAATTAAAAGTCCTTTTTAAAATGAATATTTTATACAAAGGTGTCCTTTAAAATCCAATGACTGTAAAATAAATTAAAAATTACGCCAAGAATTACCAAATTGAGCAATCTCCTTTAGAGTTTATCAAACTCAATGCCAACTACATAGCAGTTCGGCTTGTGTAACTGGAATGCGACTCTATAATATTTTATCAATATTCAAATGAAGGAAATTCTGCCAGAATTGATAAATTATGCAAAATTTATTATGCTTACAAATTCCTTAATTCGATGCTTCTCTTCAAACACATATTCACACGTCGTCAGTTACATTGAAAAATCATACCTGCCTACTATTATAATAATAATAATAATAATAATAAATTTATTTGACACATAAATTGATTACATACTTGTTTATAATGTAGTCCCTGACCCCTATAATAGGATAAAGACCTGTGTGAAAGGGGTCAGTGCCCACTTCCGAATCATCATCATCATCATCATCAACAGCCTATCATAGTCCACTGCTGGATATAGGCCTCTCCAAATGCACGCCACTCAGATCGATCTTGGGCTACTCGCATCCAGCTCCTGCCAGCCACCTTGCGCAAACCATCACTCCATCGTGCCTGAGGACGTCCTACACTACGTTTGCCTAGACACGGTCTCCACTCCAGAACTCGTCTACCCCAACGGTTATCGGTTCTTCGACAAATATAGCCAGCCCACTGCCACTTCAACTTGCTAATCCGGTGGGCTATGTCGATAACTCTGGTTCTCTGTCGGATTACCTCATTTCTGATGCGATCTTTCAGAGAAATATATCACTACTAGCTGACCCAGCGAACTTCGTACCGCCATAAAAAAATTTAATTAAAAAAACATTGTCCAGCGGACAAAATTGTGAATCTAAACCATTCTCAGATCCCCTTGAACACACACAAAAAATTTCATCAAAATCGGTCCAGGCGTTTAAGAGAAGTTCAGTGACATACACACTCACAGAAGAATTATATATATAAAGATATTTCACTTCCGAATACATAGATCATAAATATTTATGTAACATAACAGTTTTACAATAAGACATACATTATTGAAATAACTAAAGCAATCAGAATTCGATCAGAATAAAATCGATAATAGAATTAAATTGCTTACCTCTGAGGTGTATTCAATTCCTCCACAGCCTGGCCGTCCAGAAGCCAGGTGAACCTTGGAGGGGGGGAGCCAGAGGCGGCACAGTGTAAGGCCAAAGTCGGCCCTGGGTGTAACGCCTGCTCTATGAACGTGTAATGAAGTTCTGGAGCTGTATCTGTAAGGAGAGTAAAAGAAAAACTATCTGAAAGTGTTTTTTAAGCATTTAACTGCTGGATGTTTAAATTTTATGAAAAGTTTTACTAGAAAAAGATCCACGCGAACCAGGCAGCGGACGGGACTCGAACCCGCACCCTTCGCAATCCGGGCGAATGCACTGACCAATTATGCTACCACGGCCCTGATGGCCGCGTCGAAATATTCCTAGCCTTAAGCTGCGAGGCAGCGCCATCTCTTCGCATTGTAGGTAACCCACAATGTCAAATTAATACTTTTTCAAGTATTAAACGTTTGAAAGAAGAAATAGCAATTATAGTTATGTTTTTTTTTGTATCTGAAAGTGTTCCGGTATAGTGATAATGATTTAAAGCCTGCGTTGCGTTAAGCGGCAGTACGAAGACGTCCGCTACGCGTGCAGTTTTTATGTCATTTCATAGAACAGAGCTACGCAGGAGACCCGCCTCGCTCAGCGCTGCTCTATAAAATTACATAAAACTAGAGTCCGACCGAAACTGGTTTTCCGGCCGAAACCGAAACCGAACATTCGGCCGTGGCTTCAGTTTCGGCCGAAACCGAAACTCACGTGGTCAAGATTAAAATTCCTTAAAGTACTGAAATTTTGTAGCATTTTACCCATTATTCAGCATTAATTAGGACATGAAATTTAATGGAAACACAGTATATTAATTTTGTTGTAGGTAATCATTTATTAAATATAATATAAAAAAATATTAATAATATTTTTATTGTTTTTTCAAATTAAGTTCTCATAGCAACATTTTTATCAGTTATCAATTTAACAATTGTTACTGTTTCATTAAATACCCATTGATATTTTGAAATCTTATTAATTAATACTTAGGTTTGTATTTGTACTTAGAAGAATCATCAATCACTTTTATCTCAATATAGGAAACTGCACTTCTCAATATAGCATATGGACTGCTGTGCGAGAAACGAAGTAAGGCGAGCGTGCACGACAACTTCCGAAATCAGTTTCGGTTTCGGGAAAAGTTTCGGCCAATTTCGGCCGAAACCGAAACTGCCGCCGAAACTTAATTTAATAAAAACGCCTCATTTGTTTTCTCTTGCAATTGTGATTAGAGTAGCAATAGTCATTAAGTAAATTTTCTTATGCCTTGTATATACTTAATAAAATAGCTGATACTGCACTAATGACAGCTTATCATGACTACTGAGATATGGCATAATTTTTTGGGGCAATTCTAGTAGTAAAGATAGAGTTTTCAAAGGACAAAAAAGATGTGTAGAGAGAAATAAGTCGACTTCGCCCTACAGACTTTTGTTATCCTCTTTTTAAGGAATATAATATTTTGACTGTACCTTGTTTATATATACTTGAAGTTTGTTTCTTTGTTGAAACGAGTTTAAAATTGTTTTATAATGTTTTTACATCTAAAAGACACGCTGATAAAGTTGTGTCAAATACCACATAAAACTGCTTTGTTTGGTAATAATGTAGTATGGCGTTACTCCGATAATATTTAACAAGCTACCAAAAGATATACGGCAAATTGATAATGTGGTTCAATATAAAGTGACCTTAGAAAAGTTTTTAGTAAATAAAGCTTATTATACATTAAAGGAATATTTAAGTGATGTTGAAATTTAAACTACTATTTATGTTTTTAATTAATAAGATTCAAATAATCTATTATATTGTTTCACAATGATGATGTGAATTTGTTATAATTTTATATTATGCTCAATGAATGTGATAATTGTAGTAATTTTTTTTCTTCTCAACATGACAATTAATTTGCACACCCCATTGGGTAAGAATATAGGATGCTCTTTATCTCTATATCACCATTTGTTACCATATTCGGCAAATAAATATGATTATGATTAAGGTGCTCAATTATTTTTCTGTGTTCTACTAATTAAAAGTTATAATGGTGTAATATTTTGAATAAATAAATAAAATAAGTAAATACTTATTAGGCTATTCTATTGCAACATAATTTAATTAGAATAACTTATTGTATTGAGAAAAAAAAAAGTATTTTCATTACAATTTAATTAGCATAATAACTTTATTGGGAATTAGATTGGCGTATAACATTATTTGCTACATTAAAAGAATCAAATAACTCTCACAGGATTTTAATGCCTTTAAAAATATGCATGCTAGGTATATTGAAAACCACGTAACGATCCACAGACCACCGAAGTGAATTTTGCATAGTAAACTTTTCACGGTTTCGAGCAGCACGTTTCAGAATATCAGGCGATGCCGTCAAAAATACTATCTCGATGATGGATGGATCCCTAATGGGAGTGTTTCGATAAATCAGAAGCGTCAAAACAAAATCCAATCAACGCATTCGCTTCCTGAGCTCCGGCGACGGATAGAGATGCCATTTGCTGGAATTTCCAGGGACAGATTTGTTCGAGAGAATCTACTATCGACGATTATTCTGTTTAGATTTTAATATTCATGTTTTTTTAAAATAGCCAGGTAGGCAAATGACTCTACACAACCTGATGTTAAGTGGTGATAAAGTCCAAACGTGAAGATAGCTGGTACATCAGTTATAAACTGCCACACCAACCATCCCTCTCTTACAGGACCCCAGATTGTAGAAAGGAGGGAACACTTGTGTGGGCAAAGAATTCCTCTAACGAATAGTACGTCAAAGAAATGAGTTACCAAATTCCTTTATTCGTGTAGGAATAGTGGGCACAGTAAGTTGATTGACAAAAGATAAACGTTATCTTATACAGAGATGTTTAGGAACTATGACGACCGATAGTTAGTAGATAGAGTAGAGATTAAAGTCAAAAATAGTGAAGCTCAATTGCTAAGTAATTTGATGTAACTATGTGCAATTGTGCATGAACGTTTAATGACGAGCTGTGGATGACAGTGTTTGGAAAATATGCGACACTGGCTCAAGATAACAAACTATTTCATCTAAAATTGAATTGTAAAGATCAAAATGATTCTCACATCAAAGTTTTTCATTGTCCTTGTTCGGATATATTTCCCATGGTAGCCCTAAACACAGGCAGGACGTATGAGCATCGTTTATCACGGACCGGACCGTCCTGCTATTAACGAGCGAATATATTGCTCTCGGACGACACATCGTGCGCTGGACCAGTCGCCGACTTCGGCTCAGCTCACTTTATGAGTCGTCTGATAAATGACAATTCTTCGTGGCTTGTAATAATCACGACGAATGCTGACATTGATGTTTACATGTTTACAATATCAGCTATATTATTTTTGATTGTTTGATCTCGTTTCTGAAGAATAAGTAAGCTGAAGATCTAGTCATCATTGACAGTAGTTTTTATGTAAAAACCAACAATATTATGGTCGCTTCATTGACGTTGGTTGCGGTGTCACTCGCGTGTTGCTTACATTAATTTCCAGCCTCACGGCTCTCTGGATCCTTATTTACAGACAGAAACACTTCTTCAATGTTATGATTTAGTAACTTTCACAAAGTCCATTCATCGGAGGAGCAAACAAATGTGTTAAGATTTTGCGTACTTAGCAAAGCTCGCAGACGCATAGTGTGTCTTTCTTCTAACACAGTATTATTAAAAATAGAAATATGTTGAGAGATCGGATCTTAATAATTGCTATTATTATTTTATGCATTAATAACGAATCTGTCTAATGAGACATTTTATTTTATGTACATAACGTTCATTCATCATAAAAAATATATAATTTGAAAAAAAAAAATGGTTGCCTGTAAAGTCGGTTTTACGGGCGAAGATTTTACGTGACAACGTCTTTTTCTCGGTAGAATATTTATTGATATGAATATAATTAAATTGCACAATAGGAACAAGGAATTGAATGAAAATAAGAATTGCACAAATTTTAACTATAGAAATATATTTTGTTTACTAAAACATTGTACATGTAAACTTAAACTTAACACGAGAGACTCATCGTAACGTTACCGAGCGTTACACTTTTTCATAAGTGACTCCCAGCCGCAACCTAATTTAAGACGTTGTCACGTCAAAATATATTTTTTAATAATTTTGGACACTCTACTCATCATAGTAATATTTTTCTTCGGGTTATCCAAATTATTCTAAAAGTTATCTAAAGAAAACAAGAAATGTTTTACCCATTTACAATAACTGGTTAAAAAGAAAAAAGGATAAGAATGACACCCACGTATTTTATGTTGTTATTTACTGTTTCAATATCGGCCTGTATATTTCATATGTATCTGCGTAATCCACAACCATTGCTGCGGGTTCAATTTCCGCTCCCAAATAAGCATAGTATTGTACGTCCGCATACGAGTATGCATTAGCGGGTTTTGGCAAATCCTGGAATACTACGTTGGTCCCGATGACCATACCACAACTCACAAGTGCTTATCAAAACAACAAAGTTTATATATTTATTTAATTTTTGGGAGACCAACAGCTCATAAAACTGACATAGTTGAAGAAAAATTAGTAACAGAAGGCCAATTACAGGTCTCCACGTTTAAAAAACAGAAATCTTTATACTTTAACATATAAAATTAAAAACGTGCGGACAAAATAATAGGATTAGTCTACATAGTAAAGACAATTCGCCCTCTTAACAATCTTAAAAAATGTTCTTTTATTCATAGCAAATTAATGTTATTATTTAGTTTAAGTTCACAATTGTTAGTGTATAGATACTATCATATTACTCTTTCAAAAAATTCACTGCATAGAAGACGCCTTGCAGTTGCTACACCAGAATTGAATATATCAAAGTCTTTTCTAGACTTGCAAAATTCGTTCAGTGCAATGCTCGCTCGCAACAAGAATGCATTTTGTAGATAATTTGTGGAAACTAATGGTATACTAATTGGGATATAGTGCCTTGCTGACTTCGATGGGACATTGAAGTTTAGTTTAGAAATAAGTTCAGGAGAGTTAATTTTAAAGTTGCCGGAATATGCAATTCAAAATAACAAACTCATTTGAGCAACTTCCAGTTTTTTTGGTTCGCTGAAAACTATA